GCACTTGTCAGTCTCCCTTCAGGGCAGGGTTGGGAAAGGGTGTGGGGCGGAGGGAAGCACAAGGCTGTGGATCACTGTCACGCTGACAAACTTCCTGATCGGATGAGATCAGCAATACAAGACCACACAGTATTGTTGCACCAACAAGCAAACAGAGAACGGTAATGATTAGAGAGGCCATCCCTCCCACATATGGAGCGTGACGGCGAGACAGCAGGGCAGAGGCAGGCAGGACAGACTAACTGTGGCACTGAGCTCTGGAAGAGTCTCTAACTACCCATCAACAGCAGTGGGTGCCTTTGAGTCCATCCTACACTGGCCCCTTTGACTTGGGAGGTAATGCTAGGAGCCCTGTGGTCTTAGGGGAGCCCGCTCTAGCCCGAGGCCCTGGCATTGCCTTCTTCAGCTCTCCCCTTTGAACCTTCCTTTTCCCTTCCCTGCAGAAGCAAGTCAGCGCTGCAGTGTTGGGTGACACTGAGGGTCAAGGATGGAGGATAAAAATACTTTCCATTGTGCAACTCAAGGGAGGGATGCAGGGTTTGTACCTCGATTCAAAGCACCAGCCAGGAACCTCAAATAATGACAACAGCTTTGTCTCTTTGGAGAAGTGGACCAAAGACTGGAGTCAAAACGTAAGTTGACCTGTGTCAGATTTGCTGGACCCATGCCCTTTGCCCTTTCGAGTGTGTTTTTTGAGAAAGGCTACAGACATTTGGCATGACAACCTGGTTCATATGAGGGACTCAGAAGAAAGACTCTGGTCCAGGAAGCAGTGAGCAAAGAGGCCTGGTGTTTCCTACTGTCAGCTCTTGGGAGCCTGGTGGAGGCCTAAGAGCAGGGTTCATGCTTTCTGGGCTTGCTCTCCAGGGCAAACAAGTGTACTCTGCCAGTATGAGAACTGTAAGTGAGGCCACCGTGACAGAGCGGCTCCAGGCTGTCTACTAACTAACACACAGCCCTGACAGCAGGGTCATCTAAATCTGTCCCAGTGCAAAGTGGCACCGCAGCAGCCAGCTACCCTTCCTAGGGGGTAACTCACCTTCCTTACCCAAATCCACTGGCAAGGCGGATGAAAACCAGAGCTAATTACACTTCACGGGCCCCACAGGCTGAGCAAAACAAAACAGTTCTCTCTAAAGGACTCCCCAGCCAGGTCACAAACTACTCAAAATGGGAGTGAGAGGCAGCAAAGTCACCCTGTCCCAAGGCCAAACAAATGGGAGCAGAGACCTTTACAGCAGAGTAGGCATTGTGGTTTCTACCTGCAATCCCACTACCCAGGAGGCCTGGGCTATTGGCTACTGTGAGTTCCATGCCAACCTGGGTTACATCCTAAGCAGAAAGAAAAGAAAGAAAGAGAGAGGGGGAGGGAGGGGGAGGGGGTCTATGCATTTGAGAATCTTACAGATGGACTGTCACAACAGGAGAATTCATGCTATGAAAGCGCCATTCTCCAGGAAATTAAGGGGGAGGGAGCATCCTTATAAACTTGTTGCTAGTCTAGATGAATTACAGACCTGGCTGAGCAGTAATGTTAAGTCTGCCTTTGAGAGGCCCCCCTGACTACCCAAGAGCCCTCTCTCTCTCCAACACATATGATGCCTGCCCCTCTTTGGGAAGATGCAAGACCCAGAGGGTTCTTGTGGAACTCCCCTCCTCAGTGAGTGAGTCACCGGCTAAGTGAGGCATAGGGCACTGGAGGAAGTTTATAGAAACAGACTGTTCCATGCACACACTTGACCACACATGCCCGCCTGTCACCATCACAATGGAGAGGCTGGGAGCTAATGCCAGAGTCTGGCTGACCAGGGACCTCAGAAGAGAGGCCGTCCAGTGACTGCCACCCTGGATCCCAAACAGTGTTGGCAAGCACAGGCCAGGCTGTCTCATGTGGCACAAAGGCTACTTCCCAAACTCTCCCGCGCAGGCAGTGGGAAGGGAGGCGCCGGCAGGCCTCCTTCGGCTTTTCTCAACTGATCATCTTGGGAAAAGGCAGATACAAATTTCATGGCTGGAATGCAAGGGTTGTGAAATGCTGAAGATACCCCAAAGAGGGCCCAGGATGTTCCTTCCAGGAAGGCGGTGGGCGGAGGGCTGGCAACCGTGGGTGGGAGAACAGGTTACCCAGAGGGGCTACCTTCTGGGAAGCAGGAACTAGGGCCTTCAGAAAAAAAGAAGTGCCCTGGTCCTGACGTGGGAGATGAGCCAGGGATAGGGTTATGTTTGAAGAAGAAAACGAAGCCTGTTTCAGAAAGTAATTCTGCTATAAACAAGCCAGTTATGACAGAGCTCATTATTTCTAGAATCACCGGGGCTAATGAGAGGTCCTTCTTACAGTCAAATAAATCCAGTCATCTTCTAACAGGGGCCCAGCTTGTCCTCAGGGTCATGTGAGAGCTTGTCCCTAGTCATGCTACAACCAGCTAGTTACACGAGTTCCCCATGTGAGATCATTATCTCAGAGGCATGGCCTGCAGGTCCTCAGAGGGTCCCCGAGCACAGGGCAAGGAAGCCCACATCAACTACTCATCAACTCCCTACATCTCAAGTGTTTCTTCTGGAAAGGGAAAATATAGAAGATTATTTACTTCACACAGTGGCTATGAGGATGAATTAAATTAATATTAGTATGAACTGTTAGCTGCTATGGATGTATGAAATTAGCAAGTGCCCAATTTCCCAAGTAGGCCAGACCCAGTTGCTGATGCCCAGGCCTGACCAGCTGTTCTAGGCTGATCCATCCCCATAACCTCCTAGATCATATCCAGACCCACAAAGACCCATGCATCAGAGCTGCCCAGGCCAAAGTCCTGACCAAGGGGAAACTGGACAGGCAGACAAGATAGGGCCCCTGCTGTGACGGCAGCTGCCTCCCCTTCCCCGGGAGACGACGAGTACTGGTGCCAGCACATTTGGGATTGGCTTTCTCTGTCACCATCTTCATGGTGAGTCTGAAATGAGGTCAGGTCCCAGAGTGGGCAGCACAGATATTACAACGGTGCTTGCTAATTTCTGCTGAGCTGGTCACTGTCGAGCCTGAGGCAACAGAGCTAGGCTCCGGGAGAGCTGAGGGCACGCAGGAGAACGGTCTTAGCAGACCATGCTCAACTGTTTGTTAACAAACTGGTAACCAGGGCCAAGAACCTGGGAGAGGCCCTGACCCCTCCAGGCACCAGGCTTCAGCAATTTTGGGGAACCGATTGGGCACTGGAGCTGCAGGGAGGGTAGAAGACTCCAGAGGGCTCACACCCATCTCTGTATATCAGCCAATGGAGGGCAAAGAGTGGGGGCAAAGGGGACAGCCCTCTGCCAAGGCCCAGCCCATGGCCTTACTGCCCAGTTGTGATGTCTACTGGAACTGAGAGCCTGTGTGCCCCTTGCAGTGTCTAGTCAGACATACAAACAAGAAAGGGAATGCGATATCAGGCATGTCTCAGATCAAAGTGGGGCAACAAAGGGCATCTCTGCAAGAGCTCTGTCAAGCCTCTGGCCTTCTTTGAGAGGTGGGAGGACCGTTTGGGAGGTAACTGTTTCCACATTTCTGGCAAACGACTCAAGGCTACAAGACCACTGAACTTGAGGCCTGCCACCAGTATCAGAGAAGTCCAGGGCAAGAAGCCACACTCAGGACCCAGGGAGGGGTACAGCCCTGGGTCAGGGTCCAGACTGCAGGTAGGAGGCTTCCAGATGCCCCATGATATAGCTTGGCCATCTGCTACTGCCACAGCAAAACCCAAGTGACCTAAGAAAGCCATTGGCTTGCAGCAAAGGGCTGTTGGGTTGGGTGGCATTGGAAGCCTCTCAGTGCTGATAGAGAGCACAATTCTAGCTTCTGGATGGCGGGGACACCAGGTAAGCTGCAGTGGAGCAAAGTGTGCCCAGAGTTACCCTCTTGACACCATGATCTGCTCTCAGGATGCATCCTCGGTGTTAAGCAGCCAGGCCCCCCTACCTCAATCCCTTAGACAGTTTCCCATGCTAGGTGCGGTTCTAGGGTACATCCCAAAGCTCTCTCTCAAAGATGTGTGGCCTACTTCAGATGATGACGCTCTTTCCTGCAACATGCTCTCACTCATCTTTCCCGGGACCATGAACCAGCACCTGGAGCCTGACTCCAAAGTTGTGATCATTTCCAACAAATTGTGTGCGTGGTCTAACTGCACACGCCACGAACAGCTCACTGTTTCATTCCTGTTCCCCCAAAGGAAGGTCTGTGCATCCCAGCTGACCCCCGGGCTTACAGTAAAGACTTCTTAGAAGGCGGGCAGATCACCCTAGTCCTGCGGGATTAGCCTAGCTCCATTTTCACCTAAGGCCCAACAATGTCCTCTCGGGCAGGCAAGGTTCCCTCCAGGCCAGATGAGAAGGGCTCGCAGATCTGGCCTTGTTCTCCACTGGCTTCCTAGCAGAGGAAGAGGTGGGCAGGAAGCAGATCTGACCCCTGGGGTTGGCTGCTTTCTCCCAAGGACTACAGGACCCTGAGACAGGCGGCAGAGGCCCGCTACGGACTTCCCTTCCCTTCCCTGGGCCCCAGGAAAGGCAGGCAGGAAGAAGGAACTCAGCAGCAGGCATGCAGCTCAGGGCCGGCCAGACAAGGAGGTCCCTGGGGTTGCAGCTATCAGCCAGAGCCCAGGCTCCAGGAAGGAAGGAAGGGCAACTCTGACCGAGGGGGAGATAAGGAGGGACTGGCTGAGCACAATGGGCTCCCACAAGGCTGAGAGGCCCCAGTCAGATTTGCACTGACCTGGGTTCTCTTCTCTTCACACAGCCCATGTAAACATTTACTGCTGTTTATACTCATGGTCTGCAGAGTCCCCTTTGAGGGCCTTTCCCACAATGCACAGGTCTCTGTGCCCTGGACCAGAGCTGCCCTTAAACCCAGAGACCCTGGGTCCCTTCAGCTAGAACCAGGTGCATTGTTCTCTCTCATGCAATCCTCAGGTATGACCCCTCAGGAAAAATTCCATCCTCTTGTCCTGGCCCTGGAACACAACACTTACGGGGGCCGGTCATGGGTGAGGCCATTCTGTCGCTGAGGGTTGATTGGTGGAAGGACAGGTTTGCTGTTGATCTCGAGTCCTCGCCTCAGGGTCTCCCGGATCTGCTCTGTGTCTGCAATGATATAGCCCAAAATTGCCTGATGACCCTCTGGGCTCCCAGCGACCCTTCCTCCCATCCTCTTCTAGAGCCTAGGACAGCAGTACGCTGGTGAAAGGCTGGGCGTGGTGGCACACACCAGTAATTCTCTCTGAAGGTGGCTGAGAGAGGAGTCTGACGGTTTGAGACCAGCCTGGGCTACACACAATAAGATTCTACCTCCTAACAAAGGAAGAAAAGAAAAGGTGGATGGTGGTATTATAGTGGGGAAGAGCTGTGGCCTGCTATTGTTAAATGAATTTATAAAAAGAAAAGCCAAAAACAACAGTGTTGGGCATGGTGATGCATGGCTATACTAGGGAGTTTGAGGCAGGAAATTAGAAGTCAACCTATGCCACACAGAGAGAAAGAGCTTGTCTGAAAAACAGATAAACAATAAATAAAATAGCAATGATGATTGCAGCTGCGGATTGAGCTGTCAGTCTCTCCTTAAGTTACCCTTTCAAAAGCAACTGGGTGTGAACCCTCTGACTCCGGTTTAAGCTGTCCTTTGTGAGATCTTCCTGTGAGCATTCTCACACACGTCATGGAGTGCGCAGGTCCAGCTCCATGGAGAGACTAGCTTACCTTCTACCCTCAGCACCGAAAAGAAAGAAAGAGAAAAGAAAGCCAGTGTAGTCCCTCTGGAAACCCAACACTGTGGAGGTTGGAAGCAGGAGGGTCAGGTATCCAAGGCCATCCTTGGCTATGCAGTAGGTTGGAGGTCAGCCTGGGCTACATGAGACCCTGTCTCAAAAGCAAATAAAGGCAGGCATTTCACTCAGGGCTGAAGGCATCTTATGCTTCAATGAGCATTAGAAAGCACAAGAGCTGGGAAAGGAAGCAGACAAAAAGCCTCCGCATACATGGATGTAAATGGCTGCTTTTCCTTTGGCGTACATGGATGTAAATGACTGCTTTTCCTTTGGCATTAGCTGGGGACAGCCTTAGCAAAAACAAAACAAGACAAAACAAAACAAAAACCACAAGTGCTCCTGTAGCCAAAACCAGCATGGGGAGTGTCCAACAGGACAGCCACATCCTCCTTGTCCAAGGCCTTCCCCGGAGGCAGTGGGAACAGGGTGCTGAGCCACGCCGCCGCCTCTTGAACTACAGTGTAGGGCAGTGTGGGGCTCACACTCAAGCCATTCTCATTAGAAGCCCAGGCAGGCCCAAGGAGAGAGAGCCGCAGGCTTGGCTTGGCCATTAGGAGGAGCCAGGACCTGCGTCAGTTCTGTGGGTGGTGGACATTTGCTATCTTGTCTTTAGGTGGACTGTGGGCTTTTTCTGTTAACTCTTCCATGGCTCCCACTCACATGCATGGCCTCAGATCCCAAGGAGCAGGGTATACACATAGTTCCCGCTGGTGTGTTGGATAACAGATAACAGCTACAAACAGGCCCATAATGCTCATATGTTCAACCCATTGGAAAAATTCATTTGTCAGAAATAAGCCAGAGTGGACTGTTTGGTTCAAGATTTGCCCAGGGAGCCTGAAAGACAAGGGGGGAAAGCAGGGGAGGGCCCCAACCTTTGCCAGAGAGCCTCCGGGGCTGCGTGCCGACGCAGATGCTACGGCTATCCTCATCGTCCTCGGGAGGTCGGCTGAGGTCATCCCACGCACACTTGGCACTGACACCGCTCAGGTTAGAACCATCTGTCTCGATGCCTTTGTCAACTCTCTCCTGCTTGAAAAGAACCAAAGAGTCAAGAGTTCCCTCAGGGAACTGGTGGTCCAAGGTCACCACCACCCACCTACCCAGCCAGCCAGCCTCTTCTAGTGTTAGCCATGTAGACGCTGAGTGTGGATGGCCGCTGCAAGATCAGGGTCTCTTTGACCTTGTTCTCTGGTTCCATACACAGTGGCTTTTGCCAGTCCCTGGACTCCTCTGAGAACAGGATTAAGGGAAGCCAGGAAGAAAGAATGTGCCATGGATGCTTCCTTCCCATCAACCATGGCCTTTGTGCCTCTTTCAGTCCAGAGAGCCCTCAGAGCTGATGTAGCTGAGACAAGACCTACTTCTCTCAGGAAAGCATGAAGCCTTCCCCTCTTCCTGATCTCCCAACAATGGCCATTGCCCACCCACCTACAGGAGTTACGGTGTGTACCTACTGGGACTTGGGAACCCATACCTGCAGTTCCTCATTGTAACAGCTAGAGGGGGCCATTGCTCCAGAGCAGAAGTGCTCTCTGTCCATAGGTGCCAGCTAACTTTGGCAAAGGGCTCTGGATGGGGTCCTTTTCTACTTCCTAGGCTGAGATGGAGGTCTGGAGGGCAGTGACTGTTGCACATTTCCCCCAGAGGCCCTGCCTTTGTGTAGACATTGGCACTGCTAAATCTAAACTTTCTCCAAACAGCCTCAAGAAAAAGTTGTGCTCAAAACATCTTGGGTTTTCTGGTAAAACATAGTTCTGTGGTGCTGGGCTCTGGATCAAAGGTCACCTGGAAGACTCTAGCAGCCTTGTTCATAAACAGTCACATAGGTCAAGTAAACCTCCTGTGACTATGCACCTCAAAAACAAAACAAAAAAAAATCACACTTCCTGTGCCAGCCAGTCCCTCTCCAGGGCACCCAGACAAGGGCATTGTTCTTATGCCTCGTCACAGGTGGCCTCCTCCCTATAAGTCGCCCTTTCTTCTCTTGTCTGGTGCTGTCCTCGGCCTGGGTGAGCTGGAAGCAGGCAGGCCACAGTTCTAGGTGCTCTAGGCATGAGCTGGGTGGGCACGTGCCAATCTGACGGGGGGAGAGCATGAGCTTTCTTGACAATGGCTGCCCTGTCCACAGGTGCACAGAGGCACAAGCAGACAGTATGGTACGTGGAGTCTCCTGGAAGACAAGCTACATCTTCTCCCACTGGCTTCTTGCTTGAGGGTGATGACCACAGGGTGCTATGGATCCTTCTGGCTAGGGTCTCGAGAGCCTCAGGCAGTGCTTGGCACTCACGACAGGGGCCGAACAAGAGCCCACAGTGCCCCACACTGCATCTCAGGGTGGCTGCAGAACAAGGACTTAGGGATGGCTTCTGGCTCTCGCATAAGCAGAAGCTACACAGAAAGGAAGTTCAAAGTAGAGATAACAAAAGACCCTGGCAGCAGTGTGAGCATTTCAGGTACCCGGAGAGTGGAGGAGCCTCATCTGTGAATGAAGAGGACGCATCCAAGAACTCACAGGTCAGCAGCAACTAACTTTCAGGCCTGCGGGCTACATGTCTCTTTTCACCTCTCCCCTACTGTACGACTTGAAATGCTTAGTCGCTGCTGTGGCCTGACGGAGCCTTACAGAAGCTGGGACATTCAGAGATGGCCATGCCTGCCTCTGGTGACATGGTGAGCAGAAAGAGCCAAAGACAAGGCAGACATGTGGTCTGCTGCCCCTGCACAACGTGCAAGAAACGCAGCCATGCTCTGTGGCTTCCAAAGTCCAGCTGGGCGCCAAACATGCATCGCAAGCACCAAAGGTGACAGTGACATTGTCCAGGCAGCCACAGTGGGGTCTAAAGACTCCTTCACAATGACAGGGTCATTAGACCACTCAGCACCCACCCTGCAGCTGGGCTGTGGGGTCAACATAGCCCATGCTGCAGTCAGACACAGGGAGGGTGGCTCCCTGAAAATGTTTGCTAAGAAGGGGAGGAGGGAAAGGAACACAGGGCAAGGAAACTATATCCCTTGATTACTTCCTTTGGTGGTGGTAGTCTAATTTTGATATATAACTCACATACACTAAAATCCATTCTTTTTAAATGCACACAGACATATGTCAAGCTTGCTTTTCTGGGCTGAAATCTGTTTTCTTATATGGGGTATTCAGGGGACATGGTCCAGCCATGCCATATTTCTGCTGGCTCACACACATCCTCCATGTCCTAGGGATGGAAGCCAGTGGTATCTGGAAGAGTGTGCTAGCAAGGTTTTCCTCACTCAAGACATACTTGCAGGTGTGGATCTATCTCAAATATGGTTTCTCCCCTCCGCATGTCAGTAATCAGCCAGGGACCGCCGGCTCTGTGGACAAGGAGAGACAGAGGTGACTGAGGGTCTGGACTGATCATTAGCCAACAGCCTTTCTTATTTGCTGTCCCACCCAGAACACACAGGGCACTGTTAGTGGTCAGGGATCATAGAGAAAGAAAGATGGGATGGAGGGAGGACACCCCCGCCCAAGACCAGGGTTCCGGCCTCCACCTTACAGGGACATTTACTCACACAGGCACTGTTCTCAGCAGTTCCAGGATGCCCTGACCATTCCACTGCTGGGCCGAGTGCAGCTCCTCAGTGCAGACACCGACGATCTGCAGCCCAGGACAAGATGCCATTGTGTTTTAATGGCCATTCCTCCTAGATGTCTAGCTACCCAGGCTCTCTCAGTCGCATCTCAAGGAGGGGGCACACAGGCACATTTTGTGTTTCTAGGATGGTGTTCCTAAAATGTGGTGGCTCCCTTAGGAGGTGCTACCTAGCTGGGAGGTTCCAGAGCCCACAGACAGGCACCAAGGCCTGACTGGGTTTCTAGTTGCACAGAGCCTAGCTCTTGGCTACAGAAGAAACTGAGAGCAGCCTGAGCCGCAGCACGGCGGGTCCTCCCTCAGGCCAGGCATTTAGAGACAGGGGTGGTCAGGCAGCTGTTCCTCCAATAGCTCCATCTCCGTGTAAATCTCTAGGACACCAGTTGAATCTTCACCCAGCCCTCATTAGAACTGCAGGCAAGCATGGGGAGATTTACACCCACTAGGGAAATATGAGGTAACCCTGGAGCTGGCTTTCTGCTGGGATGTCCCTCTTGCCCCTGCCATTGCAGAGGGTGGAATCAGACCATGTGGATCTAGACCATTGAATGGGAAGAGAAGACTAAGAGTAGCTCCCTGCCCCGTCACTTCCCCCTGTTGCCCTGTGTTCTAGACTCTCGCCACCCTCACGGCATCTCACCTGGAGGAAGGTGACCACCCCAAACGGGGTCTGCACAGGTTGCATCTGTGGGTCCTCTGTCAGCAGCATGTGCTGAATTCTTGACTCACTGTTATCCAAAGGGCTGTGCCAAGACACGTGGTCCCCGCTACAGAAGGTGTTCTCTGTGGAGAGACAGGAGGACCCTCAGCATTCGGATCCAGACCTGGAATCTGCCCCGAGACTCAGCTAGGTTGGAAGGCCCTGCAGCCTCCTAGAACAGCCTGGTGCACCCCTGGGAGACTCCCCACACTCCTAGAATAGCCTGTTGAGCCCATTCCCAATACAAGCAAAGATATGCAGCTACTCCCAAACACCAAATGGTATTGGAAGACCCGGCGTGTTGGCCTTCAATGGAAAAAGTCAGGCTACTGGTGTGCATGCTCATTTGGCCCAGAAAGGCCTAAGACTTCTAGGATCCACTGTGCTTCTCCAGTACCTTACACGGGGAGGAGATGACCAAGTAGGCCAAGAATGAGGTGCTTTCCACTGGGGCCACTGGGAAGCAGGGGAACTGGAAACAGTGGGAATTCTTGGAAAAACTCCCCAGGGTTTCTGTGCTGGCAAATCAGTGCAGAAAGGAAACACTCAACCTCATAGAGCCCCGGAGATCTGCTGCCAGTTTCCCACAGGCAGGTTTGGGGATTTCTGGGGAACACTGGAGACTTGGGGTAAATGGAGGTCAGGACAGTGCCTTGCACACCTCAGTAGACTGTGCTGCTGAGGGGTGGCTGCCTCTGTGAGGGCACAATGACCCCAGACTCAGTACCAAGCTTCACAAAGGCCCCTTATTTAAAAAAAAAAAAAGCACTGGGAGTGATGGCACACGTATGCAATCCTAGTACTCAGGAGGCTATAGCAGGAGGATAAGTTGAGGCCAGCTTGGGCTACCTGCCAACATTTTCTCAAAAAATAAGAACAAAAACCCAAACAATATGCTTCTGGCAGCAAAGCCACAGGGGAGCACTCCATGTAGTACTGCGAGCCTCCACCCTGGCTCCTGTCTTGAGCCCTCGGAGTGTGTGCATCTGCCAGTCCATGTGGCCTCAAACTCCCTAGGGAGCCGAGGATGACCTCAAACTTCTGAACCTCCTGTGTTCACCTCCAAGTGTTGAGACACGTGCCACCACACCCAGCTGTCGGTTTCTTTGTAAAATGTGCATGGCTGTTTTGATTGCAAGTATGTCTGTGTTCCACCTAGGCGTCTGACACCTGAGGAGGCCAGAAGAGGGCATCAGACCCCCTGGAACTGGAGTTTTAGATGTTTATGTGCTGACGTGTGAGCTGGGAATCCAACCTGGGTCCTCTGGAAGAACAGCTGGTCCATCAGCCATTTCTCCAGTCTTCTGTGATGCTAGAGAGAGAACCCAGGGCTTTGTGGATGCGGGGCAAGCACGCTACCAAATGAGCTACATTCCCAGCTTCCCCTCCATTTCCCCTTTGAACATAGATGGAGTACACGATTTTCCACACTTCATTCATTTACACATGCTAGAGCTCATTTCACATCTGCTTGCAGACAGTCTCCTTTGCTAAATGTCTGTCACAGGGGCACGGCAGAACATGACCCTGCACACAGCAGCCTAAGCCTGGAAGCTTCTGCCCTTGATTGTCTTGATCTGAATTCTCATTCCTTCCTGTGTCACCTAATATTACCCAGCCAGAAAGGGGCACGGGGTGGGGGCGGGGGGGGGGGGTTGTCCACACTTGAACAGTGTTCGCACGGAGTAAAGTGGAGGAGGGGGAGGGGCTAGCGAGAAACCCTCCAGTCTCTGGACTCCCACTTGCGTACTCCTGATCCGCTCTTTCCTTTCACTGACATGCCTATAATCAGCTTGCTGGGAGTAAGAAACAGCAAGAGACTGAACTAATAATTAACAACCCTCGCTAGACACTCCACCTACAATCTACACCCTACTGACACCAGACACTTCGAGAATTTATGATTTTCTTCACAAGTCTTTCCAAAAATGAAAAAGAAACATTTCTCAATTCATTAGATGATGCCAATACTATCCTGAAACCAATATCAGACAAGATTTTAAGAAAAAGGAAACCATAGACCAATATCACTTATACATACAGAAAAAATTCCAACAAGATACTAGCAGGCTGAATCCAGCAACATATAAAAGAGATTACATACAAAGACCAAGTGACCAAAAAAAAAAAAAGGCCGGGTGGTGGTGGCGCACGCCTTTAATCCCAGTACCCGGAAGGCAGAGGCAAGCAGATCTCTGTGAGTTCGAGGCCAGCCTGGTCTCAGAGCGAGTGCCAGGATAGGTTCCAAAGCCACACAGAGAAACTCTGTCTCAGAAGAAAAAAAACAACCCCTCAAAACAAACAAACAAAGACCAAGTGAAATTCATCCCAGAAAGTATAGCTTGATTTAATTTAAAATCAATATAAGATGTCTGCTGATGGAGCTCAGTAGACAGAGTGTTTGCCTTTCATGAGGCCCTGGGTTTGATCCCCAGCACCAACCAAGTGTGCTGTCAGACATCTGTAATCCCAGCACCAACCAGGTATGGTGTCAGACATCTGTAATCCCAGCACCAACCAGATGTGGTGTCAGACATCTGTAATCCCAGCACCAGCCAGATGTGGTGTCAGACATCTGTAATCCCAGCACCAACGAAGTGTGCTGTCAGACATCTGTAACACAAGGACATGGAAGGTTAAAAAAAATCGGATATTCAGGGGGTGAAATGGCTCAGTGCATAAAGGCTTGTGTGGTGAGCCTGACTACCTGGGTTCAGTCTCTGGAACCCACAGTAGAAAGAGACCCGCCCTTGAAAACTGTCCTCTGACCTCCATGTACGTGCCATGGCATATGCATGCTCACACTCACACACGCAGGTATCATATTATATACACAAGAATAAAGCTGAAGGAAAAAAGGAAGATCAGGGTCACGGTGAATTTAATGCAAGCTTGGGCTGCAGTTCCTGTCTATAGGAATAAAGATCAAGAAAGAGAAAGGAACAGCACAGCACTGTTGTCTCTGAGACAGGGAAAAATGTCACAAAATCCAATACCTTTCATGATTAAACAAAACAAACACTACAAGCAGGAATAGATGGGGATGCTCTCATTCTGACAAAAGACATCTAAAACTGGCAGCAGACACTGTACTCGATAGAATGACTCATCCCCTCTTCCATCAAGAGCAAGACAGACATCCACTCGCACCGCTTGTACTCATCACTGCAGGAGAGGTTTGCATAAGAAGCTTGGACACAAAAGGCAATAAACTGGAAAGGATGCAGTAAACTGCCTCCGTTCATAGATGATGTGGGCTTGCACATGGAACGTCTTAGGGATACACCAAAAAACTAATGGAACTACATGTATAAAGGTTGCAGAGTATACAAGCAATGTGCAAAAATAATTTTTATTTCTAGATGCTGGCAATGAACAAACAAAATCAATAAAAATAATTTCCTCACAACACACCCACAAGAATACACTACTTGGAATACATTTAACAAGAGAATTAGAAATGTGTACGTTGACAATTTTAAAGCATTGTTGAAAGAAGCCACAGAAAACCCACACGAATGCAAAGCCATGCACTCAGAAGACAGCACTCCCCAAACTATCTCCAGCCAATGCAGTCTCTAAGAAAGTCAGTGTAGGGAAAAGGGGCCAGTCAAAGAAACACACCCTGAGCAGAGCCAAAGAAACACACTTTGGCCCTGCAACCACAACCAAAGAAGTGTACCCTGACCCTAAAACCAGTGCCAAAGGAACACACTTTGTCCCTGGAATCAGAGTCAGTGAAAGAAATGTACCCTGGCCCTAAAATTGGAGCCAAAAGGCTAAAAACGACCAGACAAAGAAACACACTTTGGCCCTGAAACCAGAGCCAAATCTGACCCTAATCCTGTGTAAAAAAGTAACCAATCCCGGAGCAGAGCTCTAGCCAATCTGAGCTCAGCACTGAAATCAGACCAATCCCTACTCTGGAAAAACTTCCCCAACCCCAGGAATCCCTATATAAACCCTGTGTATGTTCAGCTTGGCTGGTCCAGCTGTCTTCCAATAAACACCTTTGGATGAGCTTCGGGTGAAGATCTTCTTTTGCAGCGGCAACAGAGCAGAGGCGACCCTGGGCAGAGCAGAGCAGAGCAAGCAGAGGCGACCCTGGGCAGAGCAGAGCAGAGCAGAGCAGAGCGAGCAGCGCTGTAACACTTGCCCGGGAAACCTTCCTTGGCAGAGCGGAGCTGTTACACTCTGCTCCCGGCTCCCTGCTCTCCGCTCTCTGCTCTCCAGGAGCAGAGCTGAACTGTAGCAACTTCGCCCAAGAAACCTCCTGCGGAGCAAAACTGCTACACTAGGCGAACATCCCCAGCTGCAAGACCCTGTCCTGCTGGAGCGGAGCTGATACACCGGAGAAGCCTTTCTCTGAGGCAAGGCTGAAAGCTGCCAAGCTTACTGCAACCTGTGGTGGTCCTTGGCTCCCGAGCTCCAGGATACCTTTCTACCTGAGCTGTGTAACACTCAGTATCCTTGGCTCCCGAGCTCCAGGATACCTTTCCACCTGAGCTGTGTAACACTCAGTATTCTGTGACTCCCGAGTGCCAGAATACCTGACCCACTCCTGTTCCATCCTGTCCCGACCCATGCCGACGAAACTCCCGACCCATGCCGACGAAACGCTTACAGTCAGGTGTCCCTCTGCAGGAGGTGCACAGACACTCTGAAATTCATGTAGAAAGGCAAGAGGTCAAGAACAGAAAAAACAAATCTTGAAACAAACAAGAGGAAGAGAATCAGGTATGTGTGGTCACACATGCTGGTTAAAGACATCCAAACAGGATGACTGAGCGCTTGAGGTCAGCCGAGCTGCATAATAAAACTTGTCTCAAAAACCAAGGCCTAGCTGGGTGTGTGGTGGTGCACACCTTTAGTCCCAGGATTTGGGAAACAGAGACATATGGATCTCTGTGAGTTCAAGGCTAGCCTGGTCTACATAGTGGAAAAATAGTGAAGCCCCATCTAAAAGAAATAGAATAAATAAGCCAATTATGCTAATTTTAATAGAGAAAAACCCCAAAGGAATGAAAACCAAGGACTGGGATGTATCTGAAAGAGAGCACTTGCTCTCATAGAGGACGGGGTT